GAAGCATTGCGTGGATGAGGTCCCATGGGCGAAGGACATGGAGAACGCCGAGTACGACCACCACCACCACCATGTTCGCCTCTCTTGTCTTGGTTGGCGTTGCCGGCAAAAGAATGCTTCGTGCGTCCAGTTGTCGCATGTGTCCGATGCAACAGGGATCGACAACGTCATGCTGCCGACGGCGACCTTTGGCAAGACCAAGACAGATACCATCAGCCACCGATGCACGACAAGAAACAACGTGATGGAGAAACACGAGGATTCATTACGAAAAGGTCGATCATCGATCGTGTTTCGGCATGCAGGACGACACTACCAAGGCGCTTACAATCCCACAAACCCCTTGCGCTCGGCAGGAGTCGACAGGATCGATCGGCGACGGTTGTACAATTGCACTGCCACCAACGCCAAACACGCGCCAGCCGCCATCGACACGACCACCAACGTCGTCTGGCTCTGCGACGACGACGCCGCCATCTGAAGCATCACCGGCTGCTGCTTCTTCACGACCTTGAACTGCGACCAGTCGCCGTCACGCCAGTTGGACACATGGACAAACGCGACGTCGGCGGGGCCGCCAGGGTTGCAGTTGTTGCACCGAGCGAGGTACTTGCCCGTGTCGGCCTTGAGCGCGATCTTGCCGTTGTTGGCCTCCTCACACGTCCACTGGGCCCACGGGCCCGAACGCCAGTCCGTCACGTGGACAAACGCCTGGTCCGGGTACGCGGCGCCCGACACGCAGTTGTTGCATCGGCTCAAGTAGTTGCCCAAGTCTCCCTTGAGGGCCAGCTTGCCGTCGCCAGTGTTCTCGACCGTCCAGTACGAGTACGGCGTGCCATCGTTGATCGGTCCTTGAAAGTTGACCGAGTCGGGGTAGGCCGCGCCAGGAAGGCAGTTGCGGCACCGCGTGGCAAACATCCCCGTGTCGCCTTGCAGCGCAATCACGTCGCCCGTCTTGAACTTGCACGCGCACGACTCGGTCGGCGGCGTCGCCCCCAGCAGTTGCTTGGCCGTGCTGCACCAGTGCGTCGGTTGGTCGTACCCAGTCATCCCGTACACGTCCTTGTGCATGCAACCACACACGAGGGGCATCTTGGGCTGCGCGCCCGACGCGACCAGCGACTTGCAGTCGGCCGACCACGCACAGTCGCGTCCGTTGTCCGACCAGCACTGCACGTTGCCGTCCTTGGCGATGCTGAACGGAGTCGACCCCACCGACGGGAGGCACTTCCACGGCGACTTGAACTCGACTTGGAATTGCGCCCACGGCCCGTCGCGCCAGTTGGCCACATGGACAAACGCAGCGTCGGCGGGGCCGCCAGGGATACAGTTGTTGCAACGCGCAAGGTACTTGCCCGTGTCGGCCTTGAGCGCGATCTTGCCGTTGCCAGCGTCCTCGCACGTCCACTGGGCCCACGGGCCGGCCTTCCAGTCCGACACGTGCACAAACGCCATGTCCGGGTACGACGCGGGCGCGCAGTTGTTGCACCGGCTCAAGTAGTTGCCCGTGTCCCCCTTGAGCGCGATCTTGCCGTTGCCGGCATCCACGACGGTCCAGTACGAGTACGGGGTCGCGCTGCTGATGGGGCCTTGAAAGTTGGCCGAGTCGGGGTACGCGGCGCCGGGGACGCATCCGTTGCATCGCGTCACGTACTTGCCCGTGTCGCCCTTGAGGGCAATCACGTCGCCGTTGATGAGGTTGCACACGCCGGCCGACGCGCCAGACGCGACGAGGGCCGCCGTGCCGAGAAAGAGTGCGGCAGACGAAACCATGGTTGACGTTGTTGCGGGGAAAAGCAAATTGGACAATGGCGACCTGCCACGCCAACGACGGCGAAGTCAGGCCCCCTCTCCTGCGCTGTGCGCCAGGGACGTTGTACTGGGGGCTGCGCGCGGCTGACGCTTTGACAGTATCCAGTCGTCGCAATCGAGTCGTCGCGAACGAATCGTAGACCAGATCCAGCTGAATCTTTGCTTCTCCCCGTCGGGTCCGTGGGATCTCCTGCGTGCCACTGTGACGGCTCGCGCCAGCGCTGCGGGTTGTGCGGCTTTCTTTGCACTGGTTCCATCATGAACCACCCTCGTGTAGCGTCACTCGGGACGTTCGGCGAACTGCCGCGATTATCAATCCGTCGGTACTCGTTTGCCCCACGCCATCACGGCGGCGCATCGTGCCGTCGTACGTCGTGTTCGAGGTGCGAAACGTGTCCACCACACTGCATGGCTTGGGCCCAACCCGATCGTGCAGGCACGATGACTTCTGGTAGCTGTCACGGCGCCGTGGGTGGCCGACAGTCGCTCGTTCCGTACGCGACGAGTAGCGTCGCACGGCTCCTGGGCCGCCCTCCCTATCATCTTTAATGCTAACGCAATATCGGCCGGAACAATCCATCTTCTTGATCGCGCGCCGCTGGCGCAATCGCTACAGTACGAGTGGACGCTCGCCTTGGATGTCGGCCGGCGATGGGCCGTGTCCCTCCGTGCGTGAAAGCTCTTCCGTCGAGCGATCGTGGCGTACCAAGGGGAGGCACGCGTGAGACGTGCGCTGTCTTGCGATGCCGCTTTGCATGGCCCCCCTTGCCATGTCCCCCCTGTGCGTTGCGCTTGTACAACGTCTGCCTCCACTTCAACGATTCGATATATAGGCTGAAAGGATGAAATATACATGGTTCAAACACGGCATCGGAGCCATCTCGCCACGGCACGACCAAGGCAGGCGCAGCGACGACAGCCCTCGACCAACGATTCTGGCATGGTTTCCGCAGTTCGTCATGGGCTTGCTGGAGTCGCATCTTGCGTACCGCGTACGAGCATGTCGACGGCAGCCACTAGGTCGCCTGTGTAGTCAGTAGACACCTCCCACTGCTCAATTTTGCGACCACATATTGTCCATACCATATTGGCCATACCATTGAATACAGTAACATACAATTCACTTGGTACACGGTCGAGTGGACCTCCGGAGCGCAAGCAGCTACTCCGCCTGCGAGATTCGCCAGAGTTGCCACGTGCCCGTCGAGCACATCCTCCTCCTGGGCTGATTTGTAGTTGTTGTAGCTTCTACGCAAAAAAGGCAACGTCCCCCAGTACAACGTCCCTGGCGCACAGCGCAGGAGAGGGGGCCTGACTTCGCCGTCGTTGGCGTGGCAGGTCGCCATTGTCCAATTTGCTTTTCCCCGCAACAACGTCAACCATGGTTTCGTCTGCCGCGCTCTTTCTCGGCACGGCGGCCCC